AATATATTACATTATTTAATATAATTACTAATTAGTATATATTTTTAAATTTAAAAATAGCAGTCAGTAATTGCGTAGCAAGTGACACTTTTGCATACAAAAAATTTTCGTATAAATTTAAGAATTGAAGTCCAGATTAACAATTATTAAACGCTTACAAGTTTATACACATAGAGAACGGTTTCTTTAAATTTAATAATCCGATTTGTTTGACTCATATTTGTTGCATTCAAATAACATAATTGTATACCAAACAACAATTTTGTTGAATGATACTTTGTATTGTTACGTTATACTAAATCATAATATGAAGAAAATAATATAAGTGCTTGAAATAATTTATCTCAACAAAATAATGTTTCATTAGGTTTTTTTCTTCATTAAATAAACCATTATTTAATGAGAAAATCAATTTTTAACATAAATGTAACAGACTATATTTGATTTAAATATAGGATTATTTGAGACACAGTGTTAAAATTTGGTTGCGTTGTAAAAATGTACTTTAAATCATATTTAATATTAATAAGAGAGATAAATATTTTTACTCATTGCAGGTACATTGCACTACAATAATTTTAATAAAATAATATTTTGAAGAAATAATAAATGAATAGTGTAAGATAGCGTGAGAATAAGTAGATAAACATAATCGTTTTAGTAAGGAACAAGTAGTTTTGCGGACTGAGTGCAGGTGCTGAGAATACGACGGAGGCGTTTCGAGTTCTCGAATCCCGCTATCATCTTTAGGATTTTTTCAGGTTTCTTTTAATGAAATTTATAAGTTGATTGGCGAGCTGAACCGGGCTTTCAAAAATTAATTCAAGTGAAATCTCTTAGCTGTGTAAAAGCGCGAGTCGCGAAAAATTCTTTTTTATTGAATTTTTAGATGTATTTAACTTAATAAACTATTTTGTTCCGTCTCACGCTTAACGTAAACACTATGCAAACTTTCAGAAACGCTTTATACAAACGCCTTTCAAACGCTGTAGCGTTGCAATTTCTGCTCTATGAATTCTCTACTGATCGTTTCAAAACTTTCAACGAATTTCCGCAAAACGCTCATACAAACGTCAAATAAACGCTTATAAAACTTCTCATTTTCGTCAAGGCATCTAATAGATGTCTAAAGCCTATGTCACACAACGGATTAGGATTGAGATTGGATTGCAATTGGGGCCAATCAGAGCAAAGATTACCAAACTTAGGATTAATTTTCTTTCTTCTGATTTGTCAAATTTCAATCCAATCTCAATCCCAATCCGAAGTGTGACATAGGCCTAATGGATGTCTGGATGGATGGATGTCTGTGTGGGTAGAAGTTGAAATTAGATTAGAAAATAGCTTTTATACTGAATAAATTATACTGATGTGTAAATAAATGAACTTACATTTGTCATTAACATCTACATTGTCGTTTGTAAATAAAACATTGTTATTATCCATATATATATTTTTGTTTATGAAACATTCCTGTAAGGGTGCTGTGTCTAATATTGCATTATATGCATTGCAATGTTTGCATGTAAAACCATCTGCTTCAATAAATTAGGTAATAAAATTATTATTTAATCATTAGTAAAATTGATATTTTTTAATTGCATGCTGAAATATAAATATATTGGAGAATTGTAGAAGATTAATATTTTAAGGACATCAAGTGACACGAGATCTATTAAAACACGAGAGAATAGTTATGTCAATACTTATTATTACATTTTTATAACAAATAATAAAATAATTTAAAAAATATGTATCACATACTTTCCATGATTAATACTGTTTCGAATATAATTTGAAAGCACAGCAGAAAACAGTCTACAAAGGCTGTGTTTTAAAATTCACTGCCAGCGCTAAAGATCTATAGTTTAAGTCACATATATTATACAATTTTAGCACTGGCAGCGTGCTGGCAGTAAATTTGGAACACAGCCAAAAATAGCATTCTATAGAAAAATAAACGGAAAAAAGTTGGTATTGTAAGAGATTTATTTAACTTGCGTTAATTAATCCAGCGATCAGCGACCCCTTTCGTTCACTGAGGCCGAAAACTCGCGATTTATCGAAGAGATACAATCGATTGTATTACTAGCGATAACAGAGCAGGCGGCGCTGACAGCGGCCGGCCTAGCTATCCAAAAGCGGAGCCAAAAGACGAAAATCAGAAAACGTCCGGCTCGTGAAATAGTTAAACGTTTATTAGCGGCTTTGTGGCAGTATTCTCTTACCTTTGTACAGCGCTCGATAGTAAAAGACAGTGCTTAATTATAAAAGTTAGTAAAACATTTATTCAGTTTATTTGTAAGTTTTTGGTGATTGGTAACTTTAAAGAAAGATTTGTGATATTACTTATATTTCTCTTTTCTTTCCGTTCCTCACCGTAACGTCCCCTTTCGCTTTTGCTCAAGGGTTATTCTTACAGTATTCATGGAGTGACACAGTTGAACCAGAGAGAAGCCTGAGAGCGGCCATGCCATTGTAGTTTCTTACGACGGTTTCAGCCGCTGGTTTTAGCCGTAATTCCACAAAAGCGGAACTCAAAGACCGTTCTACATTAAACGCAAGTTTAATCTCAGATCTCGTGGAATTTATTAATTGCAGAGTCAAATCAGCCAATCGACCAACGTGATTGATCAGTTCCACGAGACCTGCTACTTGAGTTTCATGGAGAACGGCTTTTGAGTTCCATTTTTGTGGAAATACGGCTAAAACCAGCGGTTGAAACCGTCGTAAAAAACTACAATGGCATGGCCATTCTCTCTGGTTGAACCAGAGAGAAGCCTGAGAGCGGCCACGGCCCATATATGTAATACTCCTTTATTGCTAGTACGGTGCCGACCTGAAGCCACATGTTACGGTGCAGACAATATAGTAGCCTCTCTCTCCAGCTGCTTTGTGCGCATGCGGTGAACATTCAAGCACGTTTGGGCATTTCTCTTTTTCGCGTTCTTTCCAATGCTTTATCTCGCTCGCACTCGCTTAGTAGACGCGCCTGCGCATAATGACGCTCGACTATCTATGCCCATATTTGGACTTCGTTCGTCTCCCTTTCTCGGGCCTCGTGCCTCTCATTGCGAAGATACGCGACTAGCAATATAGGAGTATTACATATCAGAGAGAAACCTGAGAGCGGCCATCCTATAGTAATTTTTTACGACGGTTTCAGCCGCTGGTTTTAGCCGTATTTCCACAAAAGTGGAACTCAAAGGCCGTTCTACATTAAACGCAAGGCGCAGGTCTCGTGGAACTGATCAATCACGTTGGTCGATTGGCTGATTTGACTCTGCAATTGGTCAATTCCACGAGATCTGCGACTTGCGTTTAATGTAGAACGGCCTTTGAGTTCCACTTTTGTGAAAATACGGATAAAACCAGCGGCTGAAACCGTCGTAAAAAATTACATTAGGATGGCCGCTCTCAGGTTTCTCTCTGTTACATATATGACTCCTACAGTCTTACTATCTTCATTGTAGACTAGCCATTAGACGAAACGAAGCACACTCTTAAGCTTATGTTACACTACAGATTAAGATTGAGATTGGATTACAATTTGGCCAATCAGAGCGAAGATCACTAAACTTAGGATTGATTTTCTTTCTTCTGATTGGTCAAATTTCAATACAATCTCAATCCCAATCCGTAGTGTGACACAGGCTTTACGTCCTCTCTTCTTGGCTACGTATTCCCGCGCTCGGTACATACGTACATGTGACTAATTTAAATTTTACAATTGTTAATACATACAAATATTTATAGGAAAACCAAAACTAAACATAAGCAGAGAAAGAAATATAGAAGAAAGATTTTAGAGAAAACCAGATGCAAACTGAGCACTATTTTTATCATGGGCTATATTGCAACAAACTACAGGTTAAGACGTGCAGTTCGTGAAGGAAACCTAGAAAGAGCAAGAAAGTTACTTACTTATCTTGGACTATCTTATTCACAAATATGGTCAGAAGGATATGTTTTACTTCGTGATGCTATTTGGAATAGGCATACAGAAGTCATTAAACTACTTTTAACAAGCGGTTGTAAAGTTAACAACTACACTAAAAAATCTTATAATACTCCACTTCATTTTGCTGTTATAAATGGTGACATAGAAATTGTTAAGATGCTTCTAGACAGAAGTGCTAACATTAATATTGGAAATCAGTTTGGCAGAACTCCGCTTCACAATGCAATGGAAAATAAGAAAATAGAAATTGCTGAATTACTTTTAGATTATGGAGCTACTGTTAATGCCAGTGACAGTTTTGGTACACATTTATATTGCACTTGAGAAAATATATATATAAATTTTTGAACATTTTTTAAAACATGGAGTTTATGTTAATTTTACATATATATCTACATTTACACCAGGTGTTACTCCACTGTGTCTCGCTGTTCGCCAAAGACATGTAGATGGTGTTAAGATGCTGTTGGACAGAAGTGCTAACGTTAATACTCAAACACAGTGGTCTGGAACAACTCCGCTTCACGATGCGATGGAAAATAAGCAAATAGAAATTGCTGAATTACTATTAAATCATGGAGCTAACATTAATG